TTACCGTCCTCACTTTCCCATTTGCGATATAGGCAACCATCTTTTATAAGTAGACTGTCCCACTGGGCCCAATAGGATTTTAAAAGAGGGCTTTCGGAGGTAATTTCTTTGCGACTAGGTCGCTTGCCCGTTTCTATGGCCGAAATTATTTTGCCCAGAATGGGATCTCTTCGTTGTTCCGTCGACCAATCTTCTCCCGACTCAAACTGCAATCGTCGGACATCCACGATATTCTCTTTGCACTCAGCCTTTGAGCAGTGGCTGTATTCTACCTTGCATGGCCGACGAGACAGGGCATCAGCATTACCGTGTTTTCCGCCTTCTCTGTGCTCGATTCTGTTTAACGGTGACTCATTGGTGGACTGTTGAGCCATTCTTCTACCATCTTTCGTTGGAGGTGGTGACGATGACCTGGATCGTTTGCGCTTAGCTCTGCATTCGCGCGCAATATGACCTGCTTTATCGCAGTTGTAGCATCTAACCCTGTGCTTAGTCATCCCTACAAACTTTGTTTCTTCTATTACCCGCCTCATGGCGTCCTTGATCAAGTTAACGAGAGATTTGTGTTCGCAACATTCGGTCTCCAGTTGGCTAATCTTGTGGGTCTGGGGCTTAACAATCATTCTTGCCGTCTCTTGGGCAAGAGCAAACGAAACGGTTTCGGCAAATGACGCTTTTGGTGACGCATATGTTGCACATTTAATCTCAGGGTCACGTATGCCATTCACAAAGGTTTCGATTTTCATACGGTCCACCAATGGATGATTCTCTCCTGGATACGCCATTATCACCAAACGTTCCACCTCAGCTGCAAAGTCTTGTAACGTCTCGTTCGCCCTCTGTACTTTTCCCCTTAGTTCCATAAGGTAGATGTTTTGTTTATGTTCGCCACCGTACTTACGTTCCAGTGCAGCAATAACATCTTCATAGTTGCTTCTAGAAGCGACAGGAATACTCTGTATAACATCCGCAGCACTGCCCTTCAATGCCAGAAGTAGTGCAACCGCTTTGTCGCTGTCGTTCCACGAATTTCTAGAAGCCACTGTCTCGAACTGTAACTTGAAAACATTGAATGACGTAGAGCCGTCGAATACAGGAGGTTTGATTTTTAGTGTGTTATCAGGAGCTCGCACCGGACCACCTTTAATTTCCAGTTCCGAAATTTTCTTCTCCAGATTCGTAAACCTGTGGTCGTGGGCCAGAAATTTCTCGTCAACCGACTGCACTTTCTTATCCAAATCTTTAATTTGGACCTCCACGGTTTCCACTCTCCTTCCAATAACTTCCGTAATGTTCCCGAGTGTCTCGTTCATTCTACAATTCTCTGCCTTGAGTTCATCTAACTTTCTGGAATTCTCTTCGAACATTCGTCTCGTGTTTTCTTCTAACTTTCTGGAATTCTCTTCGCTCCTTCTGAAATTTTCCTCAAACATTTTGGCCAGCATTTCTCTGAAATCGTCACCCCTGGCAGCTACTGACGAGACTTCCCCACCGTTGGATTCGCCCATTTCCGATAAATCCACTTCATCCTTACTGTCAAACTCATATGTATCGATGTTCATACCACGGCGCTCGAACTCATCCAACAGACGTTTTTTGTAGTTCAGCCTTGTTGCCAGTAGAGGACAATTCCAATTTATTGAGCTCCTTCTTTAAGTCTTCCACTCGTAGATCCTTAAACTTCATCGTAGTATTATCGTAATCCCACTTCTGACACCAATTGTTACGTTCTTGGGTTTTACTAAACCCCGTGTAGACGTTGTTTTATTTCCCGATACAATTCGTACCAAATAAAACGCGGGTTCTTTCAGATTACGATTATTACAATGACTTTATTCACACAACTTTACTTTGCACTTTACTTTACACGACGGTTTCAATTCGCGATCTGATTCACAACTGACTCACTGCCTTTCCATTCCCTCTATTTATATGAGCCCTGCCTGTCGCTACAGAAGTTTCTAGACGATCTGGTAACACCTAGATCACGAACAATCTACCAATGCAACAAACACATTGAGTAACAATAACAACAACAAACTTACTGAGTGAACAATAACAACAACAAACTTGAGTAAACAAACTTACAATAACAACAACACATATACAGGCGAGGGAATAACAAAGAAAGAGGAATAACAACACATATACAGGCGAGGGAATAACAAAGAAAGAGGAATGACGTTTAACAAGAATTGTACGACAATAACAAAATAGAAAATGAAAGAGGAAATGGAAGGATGTAGAAAAATCTATACAGTGGTTGTTGTTGTGAAGTTATTCAAATAAACTGCGTAGTAGAAATTTACGTTACAATTCAAATTCTTAAATTAACGGAATTCATCTAAATTAACTTAAATCTAAAGTTATATTCGTAACAATATCTCTATAGAAATGTTATTATCGATAACTTATATGCAAAGAAATTTCGTTATCGGCATCTTTTCTTCTCAAAAATTTTGTTATCGGAAAGTTTTCTTCTTAGAAAAGTTATAATCGGCAACTTTTCTTCTTAGAAAAGTTATTATCTGCAACTTTTCTTCTTAGAAAAGTTGTTATGAAAAACTTTTCTCATATAGAAATTTAAAAGTTTTTCTCCGAAGATTTGTTGTTCTCACTGAATAGTTGTTATCGAAAACTTTTCTGTTTGTAAAAGTAGTTATCAAAAAATGTTCTCTATAGAAAAGTAGTTATGGACTATTTTTCTCTATGGAAAATTGTTTATCGATGAAATAATATTGCTATCGGGAGTAGTTATCGAAAAATCTTTTCTCTATAGAAAGTTAGTTATCGAAAGTTTTTTTCCATAGAAAAGTAGCTATTAACTATTTTTCTCCATGGAAAATTATTTATCGACGAAAAATTTTCCTATCGACATAGAAAAGTTTTAATCGAAATTTTTTCTTCACATATAAGTTGCTATCAATGACTTTTCTCCATAGAAAACTTCTTAATGTGGAATTTTCTCCATAGAAAAGATGTGTAAGACCATATATTATCGACCAAATTTTTGCATAGAAAATTTATTATCGATAAAGTTTTTCATGGAAAAATTGTTATTGGCATCTTTACTACATAAGAATTGTGTTAACGTTATCCACATTGAAATGTTTTTTATCGACAATTGCTCACCATTGAAAAGTTGTTATCGATAACTCATCTACATAAAAAAGTTGTTATCGATGGATTGTCTCCATAGAAATTTTTTTTATCGATAAAGTTTCTCATAGAAAATTTTTTATCGATAAAGTTTCTCATAGAAATTTTGTTATCGGTAACTTTTCTATGTAGTGATTCTGTTATAGATCCTTTATCCCTATTAAAAAGTTCTAATCGACAATTGAACACCATAAAAAAATTTGTATCGATAACTTGTCTACATAGAAAAATAGTTATCAGACAGATTTTCTCACTAGAAAATGTGTTATCGATAAATTTTCACCCTAGAAATGTTGTTATCGACAACTTTTCACCCTAGAAATGTTGTTATCGACAACTTTTCTCCGTAGAAAAGTTTATACCGGTAACTTTTGTCCATAGAAAAGTTGTTATCGGGAGAAGTTCACCCTAGAAATGTTGTTATCGACAACATTTCTCCGTAGAAAAGTTTATACCGGTAACTTTCTTCCATAGAAAAGTTGTTATCGGTAGGTTTTCTCCGTAGAAAAGTCGTTATCGGTAGCTTTTCTTCATAGAAAAGTTGTTATCGGTAGCTTTTCTCCATAGAAAAGTTGTTATCGGTATATTTTCTCCATAGAAAAATTGTAATCGACAACTTGTCTAAATAGATATGTTGTTATCGATAACTTTTCGCCGTAAAAACGCCGTTATCGATAGCTTTTCTGCACAGAAACACTGTTATCGGATACTTTTCCAAATAGAAATGTTGTTATATGCATAAAATAGTTGTTATCGACAATTTTCGCCTCTATTGAAAATTCATTATCGATAATTTTTCTCTAAAGAAACATTGTTTTTGACAATTTTCGTGTTTATCTCTATACGAAAAATGTTATCGGCAACTATTCTGTTCACCTTTTTTTTTCTTTATAGTAAATTGTTGATATCGAACACTTTTGAGTTAAGAATTTAATATAAAAAACACTCATACACATACATATTTAGGGGATCGTGTTGTGGATAATATGTACGTTGTGTATTTCGATAGAAAAATAGTTACGAAAAATATTGGGATTACACAACACTTAATTGGCATTCTGTATCTGTTGTAGGTCGTATGTACGTTACAAAGAGACAGTTACGAGTATTTAAAAAAAATGTACATACACACATAATAATTAGTTAACATCGAGAATTGTGTTTTTTTGTTTTGAAAAATTAAATGGATCACAAAAAAAAACTATATATCGTATATAGAGAAAATAGAAAATACATCAGAGCACACTGAGTCGGTTCAATCTAAAATCGAACTATTACTTACTTTTACGTTGTACAACTTTCGTACAAGATTCAAATTCAAGGTCAGCGAGAGCATGGCAGAAGAATACACATAACAATATACAATAATAATAATAACAATAATCGTAATAATAATAATGATAATAATAATTATAATAGAAACAAATAATTTGCAAAGACTTAAAAAGAAGTTTTGGAAATATACAAACACAAATGTTTAAAGTAAAAGCAAATTTTAGACTAGTACCTGACCGGGTTTGGAGAAACGATGTAATATTTAAAAAGAATTTATAATTTTTGGAAATATATAAAAAAAAATGGTTAAAGTTAAAGGCGATTCTAACCAAGTACCTTTCAATTGTCTGAAGGGGGAAATTGATTTAAATTTTTTAAAGAATTTTTGTACATTATGATTGAGAAATGAAAACGATTCGATTTTTGTTGTTGTTCAAATGAATATATATTGCAGAGTCTTTGACTTGTAAATGCCCTAAATGGGAAGGGAAGAGCTGAATCTTCTGCATTTACAAACCAAAGCAACTTTGTGACTGTGATTTAGAATTAAAAATGTAGGTACTTACCCTTGGGTGTCACACTCAAATCCGAATCTGAAGATCGTCTACACATTTCTCCCATTTCCTTGGGTATTATTGTGGTGGCCGTTGATATGGTGGTGGCTGATGACAGACTATCCGACTGTGATTGTATGCTAGCTGGTGTGGCAACAACACCTGAACGTGTTGGACTGGGTGTTAGCTTACTGCGATTGCCTACATTGGAAGGAATAGTAGTGGAGTTGGTAGTGGTGGTGGTAGCGGTGATGGTGTTGGCGTTGGAGTTTGTGTTGATTGTGCTGAGTTTGGCGGCCGCTACTTCTTCATCGGCATTCATTGGCATGATGGTGGCGGGCGATACATGATGACCCTTGGTATGTGGACTGCTATTGTTTGAATGATTACTACTGCCGCCAGCAGCTATTTCACTTAACGATCTGTGCTGACGATGATTTTGGTGGTTGGTGATGGTGATTCCAGCGTTATTATTAGAAATGAATGGTACAAGCAATGGATTTTGGGCATTACTATTGCTGTTATTATTATTAGTACTAGTATTTTCATTAATGCTAGAGGCAATAAATTTCGCATTATTGTGATTACAAGGAGGAAATCGCAAGATATTGCCGATATGATTCAAATGTTCGGGATCACTTAGAGTGGTTGCGGTGGTGGTGTTCGTAAAACTAAATAAACTATTTGGACTAAGGGATAACGAATGACCACCACCCCCACCACAAATGGCATTTACTCGACAGCTACTACAGGGCGATGCTAAACTATCCGACTCGGAAGGTGTGGGCGTGGAGGGACATAATTTAAGTACGGGCTGTCTAAACAAATCATTATTGGTGGGATCATTTAGAATAATGGATGCCGGGCGACAATAGGAGCGTTTGGTTTTAATGGCATTTGCTGCAGTAGTTAGGGCAGTCATGGGAGCATTTAAATTGTTAAGAGATTGTGAGTGCAATACTGGCTGCGAGGAGCTATACGATTTTGTTAGATAATTTAAATCGTTGTGGGATAGACAACATCTATTGGTGGGTGCAATTTCCGCTACACTTATATTGGGAGACATTTCCAGAGACTCCTGAAATAAAGAAAACTCCGTTTTATGATAGAGTTCCTTTGGGGAGGAGGAGAAGGTTGAGGTGTGTATCACCTGAGGACTTGTGGTATCTTTACAAATATTGATTAGCGAATCAGCATGATTATCTTTTTCTACTTCTTCACTTTCTATGGTAGATTCATTGTTCATCTTCGTTGCTGTTGTTGATGTTGTTGTCGGCTGTGTATTTATGGCCGACTCTGATTCTACATAAATTGCCGAATTATGTTTATTACGATGATTACGGCCACATGTACCATGTGACGCTGATGCGGATTGTTTCATTGCCGAATCATCACTCACAGACCGTACAATGGGATGTATGGTTTTTTGAAGACCCTTGGATTTTTTATTCCCCCCCTCCAGCATATCACTGCGGCTGCTGCCAGCCCAATGATGTGATCCGGTGGATCCTGCAGATTTACGTACATCCAACATTGAATTCGATTCTGAACGTATTTTAAGATTCTTGCCGGGAAAATAAATGACACCACTTAGGGATCGTGAACCATCTGAAGAGGATTGATTTTCATCAATTTTACGCATCAACGATGCACATTTATCACCGAAGATGTTGCGTGAAGAAGTGGTAAAATTACGCATTTTATGGGTGAATTTCTTAAGGGGTCTATCGCCACGCCCTTCTTCTTGCTGAATAAGATTTAACATTAAATTTGAACTATGTTCTGTATCAGAATCGGAACAATCATCTCCACCTCCGCCTCCTCTGCCTCCGCCATTCATAGCTAAATGATCAAAATTTAATTTATTTAACGATTGGGTGGAATAAGAGGTTTGGGGTCTTTGGGAAGTACTAAAGTTACCACCTCGAAGGAATTCTAAATATTTTAGGGTGCGTCTATATAATGGCAAAGCAGATTATTTTTTTACAACAACATCAATATTTTGTTATTAATGAGACGCAATATGGTGTATTTGGTTAAATACGCGACAGGTATTTACAAAAAATATGTATGTGTACATATAACATTAGTGGGTTAATATACGATTTGGACGATTGATTGGTGGAAAGAAGATAAATTAAAGAAAAATCAAGTTAGAACTTGTCCACAATATTAAAACATTCTGCACTAAAGCTCTTAAGGACTAAAAATGCAAAACAAAGGAATTTGAAACCGGGGATGCAATTATTCAGTAATGTGGGTATTTCCATGCATTAGCGTATAAAATACCTATACATAAATTTGTAAAATATTTCAATCAAAAACAAAAAAACTAGAAAATCGTTTAGTTCGGTCTGGCCGAACTTTTTATTTTACTAAAAAAAATCCCAAAAAATACGGAATAATCTAAAAATCGATCAATATTGAGAATTTTTGCTAGGGATATGTGTCACCCTGTGAGAAACCAAAATACCAAATTACAGGTAATTCGATTGAAAACCCCCCAAAATACCGAATTTTGGGGGGTTACGTTATATGAGGGCTTTGCTAAAAAGTGAACCAATTTTGATAATTTTTGATAGGAAGATGTGTTACTCTATCAGAATCCAATATGCCAAATTACAGCAAATTCTGTTGAAAATATCGAATATTTGAGGTTACCCTTGTACGGGTGCTATGCTAAAATGTGGACCAATTTTACGAATTTTTTGCTAGGAAGATGTGCCAACCTATGAGAACCCAAAATACCAAATTACAGCCAGTTCGGTTGAAAAACATACCAAAAATTCCCAAATTACCGAATTTTGGGGGGGTTAGGTTATATGGGAGCTATGAACTAATTTTTATAATTTTTGGTAGATAGATGTGTTACCCTTTGAGGATGCAAAATACCAAATTACAGGCAATTCGGTTAAAATCCGGGTTAAAAATACCCAAATACCGAATATTTGAGGTTACCCTTGTACGGGATCTATGCTAAAAAGTGATTCCATAAATACCATCATCAATAACGAACATTCTAAATGTAATAACAATGTGTGTGCAAAATTTCAAAGCTTTATCTTAAATATTGACAGCTCTATTGTTGATTTCAAAAGTCAGACAGACATGCACATATCGACATAGAATTTTATTTTGATCAAAATATAAAGTCTCTAGGGAATTTTATTTATTTAAATTTAAATATATTCACTACGAATATTCTGTTATTTTGCGGAAACCCCTACAACAATTATTTCTGTTGAAAATTAACCCATAATACACAGATGGAATTATGTTCTATAGTCTGTGTTCTCAACTCCATGGAAGAACCCATAGAAATGCTTACATTTCCATCATGCGACATGTCCATTTTAAACAGTAATGTGAAGTCATATGCCAATTATATCATTTATAATTTCAACATTCATTCGAATATACTCACTCTTCGATTAATGCACTATCTGCTGAGGTTGGTTGATTTGTTGTGTCCTTTATCAAAGTGACTGCGGTACCAACACCGCGAGCAACAACACCAACATCTCCCTCCAAATCAAAACACTGGGTATAACCAATAACAGCATTGGCGCCCATATTAATGGCCTTCAGACCCATTTTACGTTGGACCTGGAATAAAAATTTAAGACAAATAAGGGGTAAAGGGGTCTTCAAAAAACATTGCATATACTCACTTGTCCCGACAACTTTAAAAAGACCACCTGGCGGGCTTCATTGGATGCACGTGGGGTGCGTATCTTATCAATCCATTGATATTCCGGATCATCATTTACCACCAATTCTTCAACAAATCCATGAATAACTTGGGCCCGATAGCCAGTCGGTATGCAGGGAGCTTTTTTTTAATTAGAAATTTCTTTAAAAACATTCTCATCATTTTACAATCCTGGACTTATATACTTACAATGAAAAAATGGTATACCACATGAACTCTGACGAAATTTATTGGCATCCGAAAACAAGTCCACCTTAACAATTACATGCACTTCGCCTCGTATACCATGCATTGTATCGAACACGGGTATCCAACCCGATAATACTGTGCCTTTGCCATGACTCTGACCCGATGTTTCCAAACACAAGGGGTTTAAGCTAATATTCACTTTGCCAATGGCATCATTGGCCGAATATGTGTCATAGTCCATAAGACGTATTTGCAGAATTTCATCCTGTAGTTCAGCATCGTCAACCTCGAAGCGAAACCTACAAAAAAAGAAAATAGTATGGTGTGTTGTACAAGGGCAGGGGAGGAGGGTACCCGCATTATTAATAATCGATTATAAAATAGAAATATTTTTATATGTACGTATCAAATCTTTGCCATTCACTACAAAAATAGCCAACACTTTTTTGCGTTTATCTCTCACTTTTATGATTATCGTGGGTCTTCCGATAAGAAGACCCACTTATTGCTGGCCGACCAACCAATTAATTTACTTACCAATCAGAATTGAAAACAGGATTTAAACTTTTCCGACAAACGTCCGTTTTGTGGGTAACATTTCCTAATTTAATTTCTACATAGGCGTCAGTGGTATCCGAAGATTTGTCCATAACTGGCAGATTCCTGCCAGCTTTAATTTTTACTGCAACTTTTCCAGGCATTTCATGGACAAAACGTCGAGTCTAACTATCCGCCTTTAGTCAGATGCAAAATAAAAATAAATGACCGATCTAAGGCAGTAGATTTAATAAGGTAGCCCCATTCGCAATTGATTACAACAAACAACCGTTGTCGAACAATGATATGTCAAAAAACAAACCGATTCTTATGAGTTTTTTTCACAAATTTATTTAGAAAATTTTAATGATTGTATTGCCAAATAAGTTTTTTTTTTAATATTTACAAATTTCCATTCGTAATTCTGTATTTTAATGTGTTGATTTTAAATTACAATAACATTTTTGACAGCTAATTGTACGAACAGCTGTTCTGATGCGGCTACCTTATTCAACCTGCCTAATCTAAAAGCGTTTCGAATGCTGCGTATAGGGGAGACAAAAGAGATTAGCCGATGAAGACCTGATTGAAACGAAAATCGAAGGCACTCATCAAAGTTTACGAATAAGTGTGAAGCATAATGTCGTAGAACTCGTCATGTTTAGAACGCAGGCAAAGAAGAAAGAACAAAAATGGATTGTTTCATTCCGTTCCGTTCTTTCACGTTCGTTTTTTTCGGGTTGCCACATCTGCTCAAGTTCATTTGTGCATTGATGTTAATTGGTCTGTTCCAGTACTTTTTTAAATTGTAAATCTAGTAAAAAAACAGTTTTGGAACGAAAAACTAGTAAAAATGTCAAAATTTGATGGCAATACTTCGAAATCAACACAACAGCCAGACCGAAGTTGGCATTCCCAGTTACCATTTACCTCGGCCAAATTTCCCGAGTAAAAAGTTTACAAAGGATCTGGAACCGAACTAATATGTTACGTTTTAAATCATGAATAATTTATCTTCATTTACCAGACAAAATTTTTAAATCATCTATTGTCATGGCATAATAACACAAGGCATAATTCCAATGTTTTTATATGGTCTGTTCCCGTACTGCAAGAATCTACTACTTTTTACTACGATAACGAATTTTTCCTTATGATATCGAAAAAATATAGGAAAATCTTGCAGATCTTGTACTTTTGACATGACAATTATGGAAGGTAATCTCTGTTCAGCAATTGATAGTCTGTTGCAGTACTTTTTTAAATAAGTAAATCTAGTAAAAGGGAAACATTTCAAAATTGCTCTCAGAATACAAAATAAGTTCCGTTCCAGAACCTAAAAGAATCTACTAATTTTACAAGTTTTGCAACTTTTTACCGTTCCTCAACCCACAAAAATGGTAAAACTTTGAATCAAATTTAAGAGAGCACAAAACAAAATGGCGTTCTCTTTGTAAACTTTTTACTCGAGAAATTTGGCCGAGCAAAAATGGTAAACAGGAATGTCAACTACTGATTGGCTGTTAAGTTGATTTTGAAGTATTGCCATCTAATTTTGGCATATTTACTACATTTTCGTCCTGAGGTGAATATGCTATTAATCAAAATTTATTATGAAAACATTTTTCCCTTTTTTGAGTACGGGAACTACCAATGGTTGTAATGTTGATGTTAAAGACAATTATATCTTTTTTATTGTCCCGTTTATTGTTTTAAGCGGTGTACACACTATCATTATTGACTGTCAACTTTTTTATCGATTACTGACTGCCCAACAACCATAAATATTTTTGTGGTTGCCTGATAAATGACAAACATGTGAGGCCACACTATCAAACAAGCACAATTTGGGCAAGAGTGCCATTCAAAAATGCTAGTGTGTACACCGCATTATTCTTGACAAATGTAAACCTACTTTTATAACAAGACAACTATGCGTGGTTTTATATTTGTTGGGATCGGGATCGGTGTTGAGAGTTTCTCTCTCTTGAGAGAGTAATTAGAGTTACACTATTTTTAATTTTGTAACAAGCGTACTTTTTGTTCACAAAAGGTACGAATTATTAGATTTTTTTGTTATTCGTGAATACATTTACTCTTAAATTATAACATATATTATTTATGCAAATAACTGGTATGAATATTGGTCAATATTTCTCGATAATTATGATTTATTATCATTTCAAGTAGAATTTTAGGTACCTTTTCGTACGTTTTTGTTCCTACCTGTGGTAATGTTTTCCAACACAATTCACTATTTACCACTGAGAGAGAGAGAGAGAAACTCTAAACACCGATCCCGATCCCGACAAATATAAAACCACGCTATGTCATCAATTCCCTTTACGTAGCACGCCAACGTAACGGCGTCAAGAAATTCAATGACGCTAGCAACGCCATTTTGCCGACAAAAATTTAGGTTGGCAACGTACGCCACCTAATGCAAATACTTTTCAATACAGAAAGTCAATCGATTAGTCGAAAGTCGATCAACTTATCCCTAGTACGCCACCTAAATGCAAAAAAAAGTATACATAATTTGATAAGAAGCGGAAAGAAAAGGTGAAAAAATTGAAAATATTTTATAAAATTGTAATTTGAAGAGAGAAAATAATGCTAATCAGTTCAGGAATACAACGGGAAATAAGATTTCATTAAAGTTCGTCCAATTATCAGTGAAAATATACAGTAATAATCCGTTGCCGGAACCCAAGTCGTCGGCTAGTCATTCATAGAAGTTGAGAGTAGAGAAAAAGTGTGTGTGTAAAACTTAAGAACAGACAAAATGGAAGCACCCACAACAGTCGATACGGCGCCTATAACTGGCGGTGTAGCTCCCACACGTGGACGCGGTGGTATGCGTGGTTCGTTTGAACGGGGACGTGGCAGGGGTATGGGTAGGGGCCAATTTTCTGGTATGGGAGGACCTGGTGGTTTCTCTAGCCGGGGTGGTTATGGAGCACGTGGAGGCGGCGGTGGCATGGGAGGTGCACCGATGGGCTATCCACCACGTGGTGGCTTTGCTCCCAGAGGAGCTCCACCGATGCGCGGAGCTCCTGGTATGGGTGGTCCAGGCGGATACTCGGGCAGGGGTGGTTTTCAAGGAGCACCCAGGGGTGGACCACCAATGCGAGGAACCGGACGTATGCCAATGTACACACAACGTAAGTATACACTATTAAGACACATGAAAACTACTGATGTGATTAGAAACATTTTTGGACGCTGCAGAGCCGAAACAACACACCGGTGTGGATAACAATAAAACTATCTCACCGGTACAAGCATCAGCTAATAATCAAGTTGTTGCCATAAAGGAGGATAATGCGGCGGCCACAACGGAAGTTGCAGCCCCTGCTGCAACTCAGGAAGCAGATCCCAATGCAGTGGTGACGGCGTCAACTGCCCCCTTGGTTAGTAGTAAACCACCCCTAATGGGTACATCACCAAATTATCGTGGTCGCGGACGTGGTGGCCCTAGAGGTGGAGGTCGTGGAGCATATAATCCACACAATGGTAGCACCGGTGGTATGATGTCCATGCATGGTGGTGCTCCAATGCAAGAACATGGTGGTATGGTGCGACGTGGTGGTCCACCAAGAGGACGTGGTTCATACCAGGGTGCTGGTATGACACGTCCCCCAATGCACCAACAGACGCATGCATCTAACTCACAGTCTGCACCAATGTCACTGAAGCGTGGAGCTCCTGGTGGTCCTCCTGGACCTAAACGTGGACGTTATGAATCTGGTCCATATTCTCAGAGAGCACCTGCGCCCAAATATCATCAACCTCCACATATGGCCCAGCAACCAGCTGCTAATTATGGTGTCGCTCATCAGCCAGCTCCACCACCACCACAAAGGTAAGCTAATCAAAACGGTTCTGTAAATGAAATGAGATTTTGAAATTTATGTGCTTATATTCTGTTTTTCAGTCACCATGGCTATCCACCTCATGTTGCAGCGCAAACAATGGATCCTTATGCCCAGTCATATGCTGCTGCACCACAGGCCCAAACCACATATAATGGTTATGCGCAGACATCAACCTATCCCCCGGCACCAGCGCATGCAACAACACATCAGGCCAACAGTGCCTATGCTGGTGGTGAATACGATCAAAGTCAATATCAAGGATACAGGTAAATATTTACAATTCCGATAATTTGAATCTTTAGATTAACTGACGTCACTTTTGTATCCCTTGAAAAAAGTCTTAACCTATCAATTAAAGTCTTAACTTATTAATTATAAAAAGACTTAACTAATATGTTTTTTTGTTTAGTTCTACATACGGTCAACAAGATACCCGCTATCAAACATATGGTCAAGATTATACACAACAGTATGGTGCCCCAGCTGTTGATTATAATACATCTCAGGCAGATTACTCCCAACATGCGCAGCAAACATACGATGAACGCGCTTACGCCGGTTATGGTAAGTACAATTAAATCTTTTTCTTTGTCATTCTAATAGATTATGTATTGTTTTAAATATTACTTTCCACAAGGGGTTATTTCAGTTTAGAAAATATGTTTTCTGATAGAAGATTTTCATAGCAATAAAGTAATGCAGACTTATCTTAAACGATAAACAAAATTAGAATTTTAAAATGATTTGCTATTTATATTTCGGAATCTATGAAAACGATACACCAATACCTACTTTTCATTCGCTCAATACGATTGTCACGATTCGCTCGTCACGATTGTTTTAGAATGAAGCTACATAGAAAAATGTACTTAACTATTTGGCCGTTAAAGAACGCGTTCATATTTTGATAGTTTCTGAGGTACTAAAGTATTCAAAAGAATATTCTATTTCTGAGATAAATGATCGGAGGATTATTTTATAGTAGAGAGAAATATATGCCGTAAATAATGGAAGACAACATCACCCAATATGGCCAAGATGTATTCCATTTGGAATAACCCCATAAAGGGATACCTCTAAATTAGCATTGTTTGGTTTGCAATTGAATTGGATTTGGATTCACATTGGATAGCAATTTCTTTTACACAGAATTGTCAATATTGGTTCACTTTTTTGAGTAGACACCATATAAAGGTTCCTTGCCCAAATTAGGTAATTTGGGTAGTTAGCGCGCGAATTTATCTAAAATGGCTGGGAATCTCATTGGTTATGCATTTTCATAATTAAAATTTTCACATAATTAAAATTTAAGTATGCTCTCTTATAGAACGTATTTCCAAAAGTACCTCCATATCTCAACTCTATACTAAGCTCTATACTAAATTTGGTATAATTTATAATTTCGAAAATAAATATCCAAATTTCGGATATAGGTTAACCCAAATCCAAATTTAGTACCTGTTAGTACACATTAATATTTCCCAAACACCCCAATATTAATTCCAAATCTCAGGATTCTAGCTCTATCAGTTCACTCTAAATCCAAATTATATCAGATTTAGTACTATTTAGTACACATACGTACAAATTTCCATTACTATGGAAATCTTATTACCCAATTTCAGGATTCTAGCTCAATCGGTTCACTCTACATCCAAATTGTACCAAATTTAGTGTCATTTAGTACACATTAGTAGACATTTCCAAAACTTCCTACATACCCCAGTTCAACACCCAACAGTTACCCTAACTCTAAATTTCAGTATTCTAGCTCTATTGGTTCACCCAAAATATAAACTGTACCTAATTTAGTACACATTAGTAGGAATATCCAAAACTTCCCAAATAGCTCAATTCTACCCACCCCCAAACAATGATACTAATTCCAAATGTTAAGATTCCAGCTCTATCAGTTTACCCACATCCAAATTTGGTACCATTGTACCAATTATAGTACGATTTAGTACTTTTCGTACACATAGGTAAACAAATTTCCAAAATTTCGTACATATCCCAATTCTTCACTCCTACGGTAATGTTAATTTAAAATTTCACGAATCGTGCTCCACTTGTAACTCAAAATTAAATTTGTATAAAATGTAGTACCATATAGTACTTGAGTACACGCTTTCAAAACCATCTCCTTACATCGACCCTATTTCTCAACCTTACTTATAGTGTGATCATCCTTTTTTACATGCAAAGAAAAAGAAAAGAGAGAGTGGAAGAGCAAGGAGAAAAGATAGCGAGAGAAGAGCGGAAAAATGGTTATTTTAGCCATGTCAGATTTTTGACAAAGTCTAGGATCTGGTTAGGGTCTATTTTAGAGAAGAAGGCTAGATTATCAATTTCATATCTTCCAAACTGTTTATGTCTTATGTCAATAGGCGATGGACATTTACAAAGGATATGTTCAATTGTTTCTAGTTCTTCTTCGTCCTCACATAGACGACAATAATCCTCTTCGCTGGAGTCCCACTTCAAAGTGAGAGATCTAATCTTGCAGTGACCAGTTATGATCCCCACAAAGATTTTGATCTCTCTCTTATTGTGTGCAAACAACGAAGACGTTCTTTTGCGAGAAAATTCAGGTCAGATAGATTTGGAGATTCTGCAACCAGGTTCTCTCAACCATCCGTCGCAGTAGAAATAGCGGATTTTGCCAATGAAATAGACAATGAGTTATTGCACAGATCTCTCAATCGGAAGATTGGACGACTGTGAGCCCCCTCGAGCAAGCTCGTCAGCTATCTTATTCCATTCAATGTTACTATGTCCTGGAACCCAACATAAGCAAACTACTTGTCGTATATCATTCAGAGCGGACTTGCAATCATGAACTGTTTTTGAGTTTATAGTACACGGCTTCACCGCCTTAAGGGCCGCCTGACTATCGACATATATAGTAAGAATGTCGGCAGTAAGTGATTTTACGATCTCGGCCGCTTTTGTGATTGCAAGGATTTCTGCTTGAAAAACTCTACAAAGATTGTTAAGTTTATATGAGTTATATGTTTCTAATTCCCTACAGTAAACGCTTGCACCAGTGCCTTCATCCATCTTTGACCCGTCTGTAAAGAATGACAGACCTGGCAGAGGTAAGGAGCCACTTGTCCAAGATTCCCTACTAGGAAACTCTACTTTGATGTCCTTAAAGTCTCTGTGAGAGGGAACATAGTTACTAATATGACTATTTCCCCTCAAGAGGTCACAACCCGGTGTTATGTTTAGGATACTTGCGTGACCATAGTTCAGCGATTTCCAGGCATCCGTTTCCCGGAACATCAGAGCACACCTGGCCTCCTGGAATTTAGTCAGAATGGTTGGAGAATCAGGATTGCATTCAAGGCTGCCTGTGGTGTGCTTCTTAACGCTCCGGTGCTGAGGATTGAAGACGATCGCTGTACTAAACATAATTTTGTCAGCAGCATCTTTTTGTTGACCCCCTGCCACCAAACAATCAACCGTATCTAAGAATGGGGAGAACGATCGTCACATACTCGAATTTTTTATCCCCAGCTCCAGGACTACATCATCGACATAGGCTACAACCTTTATCCTAAGATGATCGAATTTCAGCAGTATCTCATGTATCACTAGAAGCCACAGAAGGGGAGATAATACTCCCCCTTGTGGTGTGCCTCTGTTGACAGATTTCCTCACGGAACTTTCTCTTAAGGATGAGTTGATAATTCTGCTTTCTATCAATCCATTCCGTTAGAAGTGAGGGGATAACTGTGCCTACGAGAGCTGAATGGAGGCTTCTAGCATCATATTGTTAAAAGCTCCCTCAATGTCCAGGAATGCTGCCAAAGTTTAGCCAGAGGACTCCATATTCTTCTCGATGCATCCAACCACCTCATGTAAGGCTGTATCCACTGATTTGCCTTTGATGTATGCACGCTGGGAGTTGCTAAGTTTGCTTTGGTCAATAGTATTTTTAATTTCTGAGTCTAGTAACCTTTCTAAAGTCTTGAGTAGAAAGGAAGAGAGACTAATTGGTCTATAGTCTTTTGGTAACGTATGACTCGGGTTCTCGGCTTTCGGGATGAAGGTCACTGTTACCTCTTTCCATAGACTAGGTATGTACGATAGAAGTATACAAGCCCTAAAAATGTCCTTCAGACTTATAGGGTTAAAACTACTTATCGCCCATACCAGTTTTGGGTAGCGTATAGTATTTTCTATCAACTTCTCCTCTTCCTCGTTCGAACTATAGGCTGATACGCACCCTCTCTATAGTCCTTACAACCAGGAAAGTGGGTTGACGATAGAAGATAAAGAGTCTCACTGCTAGAGTTTGTCCACGTACCATCACTTCGCTTAATACTACCCATAGATTTTGGATCTTTAGATAGTACTCTGCGCTTTGTTGACTCCTTCGATGGACTCACTATAGCAGACCCACGTTTAGCCTTCTTGTCAAACCTGTTCAAAATCGATCTTTGACTTTTACCGACTAATGCAAAATCGACTAAAAATTGATTTTTTTTGTCCACTTTGACTTTACTTATCGCTAGTGGGAAGGCCGCCAGACCTATTGGCATGTCTTCACAAACTACTACGTCCTACGTCCATTTACATCTTAAAACCACATACATATATTGAGATCATGTCATGGTAAATTATATGTACAAAAATATCCTCCAGGCGGTGATAAGACTTATATCCGGAAATACAGTTAGAATAGACTTCAAGAAACGAAATATCACCAATGTGGTGTGGCAAAAAGTACTCAAAATGTTCAGTATTCTGTAAATATAAATAGATTGTAATGTAATTAGTATTTCGTAAGTTTGTTTTCATCACAAGATACATAAAATATTTGATCATTCTAGGGTTTTTTATTCCATGTGGAAAGTAAAAAGTTAAAATTTTTTATATTTATTAAAAAACATAGTAGTATATTTTTGTAAATAGTTTTAAAATTAACATAACATATTGTCTAAATATTAACAAAAAATTTCTTGTGTTGTTTGGTCAAACAAACCAAAAACAAAAACCAACAATTGTATCTTTTCATCAAAAATCAATCAACCACCAACCACAGACACGCAGTCATATCAGCAGAGTTATTCAAATGCGGGCTATTATTAAGTCAAAAAATATGGTAATGGAATTTTGAAAAAAAAGAAAGAAAACTAAAAATAATAATAAAAATACAACACTATTCTCAACACAAAATACGCTGTGCGTGCCGATGATATAATACTACATACCCTACACATATGTTTGCTGCAACCAACTAACCATCCAAAGCAACTGCAAGATATATATATATATATTAACTTTAAATATATATGTATGTATAGCCAAAAAACAAACATCCATTGAGTAATGCCAAAAAAACCAAACAAACAAAATCCAGAAGTTTGAAGTATATATATTAAGTCGTCGTATAGTGAATTGTGGATTGGCTGGCTGGCTCGCGTCGTTGTCATTTCGACTATATATTGGTCGTCATCATCGTCGTCTACGTTATTCATCTATCGTCCGTTGCAACCAAAATATGCATGATCATAAAGAATGGAAAATGAAAAGAAATTCATTTAAAAAAGAAAAGGAAAACAAAATAGATCGCCGTATATTATAGAATAGTAGTCGTAGTAGTTATATACTTCTTATATTCATCATAAACAAAAGAGACGCAAAAAATATGATGTTATAAAATTATGTCAGACACTTTATATTTTTAAGTGATAATAACAGAAAACCAAGATAATTTTATAAGCAAAAAAGTGTCTAAATTTATATTTCTTTACTTTTTGAAAAACAAAAACTAAAAAAATCCCAAATTAATATTACCAATCAACTGCGACGACCTATACCTACACCCCCATCAACACCATCAATCACATCCTTGTTTGATATTGGTAATATTTTAATTATATGATATAATATTGTTTTAATTTAAACCCATAGAATCTAATAATCATAATAATAATAACAATGACGGACAAAACAGTAACTCCTGTACTCAGTCGATAAATAAAATAGAAATCAAATGTTTATTTTTTTCTCTCGCCTCTATACATATATTCTTTAAGAGTTTGTAATATTTTTTTACTAAATTGACTATCTCTACCCCCCTTTCCCCCCTATTTTTTCCAATTCAAACTTGGCAATGCAATACTAAATCTATTTAAAACTATTTCTACTCCCAAAAAATACATATTTTATGTACTTTATTTTGACACAAATAAAAACAAAAAATATATATTATTAATAATAAGAGATTATTGTTTCAAATGAAAGAAAAAATTAAAGTTTTTTTTTCTAAATTTAAGTTAAACCAGCAAAACATTTTTATTGTTTTATTTTTTTATCAACCAGTCCACAAAATGTTCCCCATAATATTGCATTATAATCTAATGAGAAAAAAACATTTATATATATTATAAAATACAATCTGCGCATAAACAAAATATATATTTTGAAATGACCAGCAATTTTCATAAATAAGTTTTTATATTCTTTCCCTCCTTCCTCTTTTTCTAGTGCATAGCAATTATGATGAGTTGTATTTTATAAAAATAATAATAATAATAGTACTTAAATGACTGGATTATCATGAATTTTTCTAAACATGACAAGGCCTAGCCAGCTACTTTATTAGGTGACTTTGGTTTATTGAATCTTTTGAAGAAAATAGAGAGGAGACATGCGAAGAAAGAAGGTTATGTTTAGGCATACGTACTTTCTATGGTGAAACCATAGAGAATTTACACATGGGAAATATTTTAGAAAAAAAATATTTTTTAAACTCCACCCTATACCAAGGCCTATACAAGTTCGGCCAGTAAGCGAATTCACAGAGAAAACTTTAGTTTAACGTCATTTTTTTAATATTTTCGTTTTGATGTCTAACATAATTTTGTATGTATGCATGTATGTACGTATTATGATTTGACGGCAAACTTTATACACAGATGTGCTTACTGTCCGACCTTATATAGGCCTTGACCTACACCTAATAATTAATATATATTTTTTAAAATATATTTCTTTTAATTCACCATTTGTGTGGGGCTTTGCAAAAATATTTTTTTAATTGCCATTTGTGTGGGTGGCTTTGAAAAAAAAAATATTTTTTTAACTCACTATTTCACCAATTGTGTGGGGTTTTGAAAAATATATATTTTTTTTTTAATTCACCATTGGTGAGGGCTTTAAAAAAATATTTTTTTAATTCACAACTTGTGTGGGGCTTTGAAAAATTTTTTTTAATTCACCAGTTGTGCTGGGCCTAAAAATATATTTTTTTTAAATTCACGATTTTTGTGGGGCTTTGCAAAAATATTTTTTTAATTCACAATTTGTGTGGGACTAAAAAAAATTAATTTTTTTAATTCACCATTTGTGTGGAGCTGTGAAAAGATGTTTTTTTTTTAATTCACCATTAATGTGGGGCTTTAAAAAGACATATTTTTTTAATTCACAACATGTTGTTATTTTTTTTTATATTTTTTTTTTTGAAAAAATATTTTTTTGTTGAAAAAAATTTTTTTTTTTTGAAAAAGTATTTATTTTAATTCACAACTTGTGTCAAGCTTTGAAAAACTTGTTTTTTTTTTAATTCACCAGTTGGGACTTGAGAAAATATTTTTTAAAAATCCAGCCTTGTGTTGAATCTTAAAAAAATATATATTTTTTTATTAAATCCAGTTCCATTTAAGCTCCATGTTATCGTGATTAACCACCAATGATCACTTGAACCCACATCCAGGGATATGGCACGTCGTACTGTTGTTGTTGCTTTTACACAATGGGCTGAGGTAACGACCTTGTACTGTGGCGTGCCTTTCTTGACAGATTTGCTCATGGAACTCTTCGCAATCGGCTGATGATTATTAGTCCATGTGATACAGAGTGCAGAATGGGTGGATTTCTCAATTTCAGATATGCCAGTCTGTTGAAATCGAGCTATAGAGCTTTGAATATTTATGATATAGTTTTGAACCTTGCAAGAAAGTTTCGTATTGAAAATGGGCTCAACAAATATAAAGGTCCAACTTAAAGTATTGTGATAGTCACACTTGCTTTTTTCAACAGTAAAAAAAAACATTTTGCAGACAAAATTGAATATGGGTCCATTTTGGAAGGAATCTTTAGTAGTGGTATTTGAATTTTGGGGTTCCGGTTTCTTTGGGGACTAATAAAAGTCTTTGCAGAATATTTTCAAAAACATAACTAACCTTCAAAAAGAATTGTATTGAAAATTGAATCGTATCTGTAAAATTTGAAATACTTTATTTATTATAAAATTAAATATTATTCCTTTCGAATTTTGAAAGATTGATAATCCCTCTTTTAAGTATTGTTGCCTATTTTTTTTTCTTGGTAAAACACAACTCATCTTAATGATTTTTTTCTTCTTTTCATTATAGCAATAAGTTAAATAGAATATACAATTATTAATGATAATAAAAAAATAAAATATACAATAACAAAATAAAAAAGTCAAAAGTTTTAGTTAATAAGGAAAGAGCAGCATAATAATTATTTCTATCTATACATTATTTTTCAGAGGAACAAGAAGAAGAATGTTACTATGTGCGTTATTATAAAACACGCATGTTTAAACACACATATTTAATAAAATACATAATTTAAGCAAACAAAAAACAAATCACTTTTGCTTTATATATTTTAAAAATTTATCCAAATAATTAAATAAAAAATACCAATATGAAAAAGAAAAAAAAAAACTAAAGTAAAAAAACGAAACCCAAAACAAAACAGAATTTTATTGAAACGAGATGAGTAAAACAAGAAAAAATTAAAACGTAATATAACCAAACCAAAAAAATAAAGAGAAACAAATCAGTTAAAGGCAAAACTGTGATAAGTGCAAAAACAATATTATGGGCTATAAGAAAATCCTACAACCCAACCAATTCAAGGTACAAAAATTTAAAAACTAAAACTACATTTTAATGTGATATTTACAAAAAAAAACTACATTTTACTATAATACAACTAAAAAGACTGATGAACGAAAGCAAAATTCAAATATTATTCTTTTATATGTTAATTTGTTTCTTATAATTTCATGTACTTTTCTTTTATTGTTAATTTAATACGTGGAAATGCGTAGCAAAAGCATTTATAATGGAAAATTTTATTCCAAAAACAATACTATATATTTACAACAACAAGTGCAATAACAACAATTTAATTTTTTTTGTTATACCATTTTGTTAATTTTTTTAGTATTTTAGTTTGTAATTGAAATTATTTATTTTAAAGAATAAATGATAAACAAAGACTGACACACGATGATGCTGGCCATCAAAAATATTAATGAAACACAAATCAAAACATCCTCAAAAAATATATATAACTAAGAAAGTTTCAAACATTACGTCTCCAAAACAAAACAAAGAAAAGAAAAAATCAAAGTGAAATAATTACTATTTTAAAAAATTATATATATAAAAGTTTTACAATTGCCAATCACAAGGATTCTTTAAGTATACCTCTCGGCTATCGACTGAAATTACATTTATTATAGATAATTGAAAACAAAAAATGGATACTAAATTTAATTGAAACTAAAGTGCAATTATTTAAACTCATGTTTTATTTATTAATTTTTTTATTATTTTAGTTTTTAATTAACATTATTTATTTAAAGAAAAAAAAAAACTTGTCACGATGATGCTGGCCATCAACTATTACCGATATACCAAAAAAAATTATAAAAGCAGCAACGTTTTAAACAATATTTCTAATATTATTAATTTAAAAAAAGACATTAGCATTTTATAATTGCCAATGAAGGTTAAAGAATGATTTCCTTAAATTCACTTCGGGTATCATGGACTGAAACTACAATCATATATACAATATAAACCAAGTGAATACACTATTATATAAAGGAAATACAACAAAAAGTTATTTTCACAAGGTAATATTTAAACGTAATTAACCTATTTTGAAGAATGTATGTTTAAAAATTCTAACTTCTACGTGAAATCCTCACAAAATTATTTATATGTAGGTATGATTTTTTTTATAAAAAATTAAGAAAATATCACAAATACAATTTTGCAAATAAGCTATTCCGAACAAAATTTATAAATAAATATGACATCTAAAATCTAGTTTAAGTTTTCAAGAGACTATATAG